AAATACTCATGTCTGCTTTCACATTGTCTTAGATTGTAGTCAAAACTAGCACCCTTGTCTCATGTGTCGGACATGTTTTGGCAACATTTCCCAAAGTTGGGTTTGACCTCTGAACAGGTAGTTGAGAATGAATTTTCATGAGCGCTGCAGCCATACAGCACTTTGGATCACAGCTCCCTACAGGGGCCTCTTCGAAACACTCAACCTCCTCGGAGTACACACTGCGATTTAGCACTTGAGTGTTTCAAAATGTTAAAAAAAAAAGAAAAAAAAAAAGAATCCCTTTTTGTTTTTGTCTGGTGTCCAAGTATCCTTTCCAGCATGACACCAAGGGACCAATTGAGAAAGAACTCTATTTGCACTGCTCTGCGCCGTGTTACGTCTGAACGGAACAGAAAGCACACATTGCCTGCAGTCAGTAATCGCTAGGGTGGAAGAAAAGAATAGCTACAAAGAAGCTTAGCACATTTAGCGAGCGCTTATTAGGCCTCATGCCTGCGCACCGGCTGCCGAGCGATAAAGTCGAGCTATTTGCTTCAGACGGACGGCGAGTCTTGTGGGTATTTCTGATGAAATGCGGTGACATCGAGACAACTCGCTCACTGGATACCCTCCTCTGCGTAAAGCGCTAAGCTCCACACCTCCGAGGGTTGTGCAGTTTGATACATATTTGTGTTGTCGAGCATTTATAGAAGCTTTCATAGCCACCGCCTGGATTCATACTGTCACTTTGTACAAGTTTTAATGCGACTGTTAAGGCTACTGAGCCTGCTAACAATGGAAAGATGAAAATCAAGACCCATTTCGTCATTTTAAAACCATGGAAGAGTGTGACATAGTGGTAGGTTATTAATTTGGGGGTTAGATGCCGTGCTCAAGTCCACCTCAGCTCTTAAATACTGTGGTTAGAGGTGAGTTAGTTTGGCATACACAATTCTTGTTTTTGGGATATGTGACGCAAATTTAAACCACTCGGCTGGTGAGAGGATCAGATACGATCAGTTTGTTACAGTGGTACCTTTACTTACGAATGTCTCTTCATAGGAAATTTTCTTGGAACGAATTAAGGCATTTACATGGAAAACGAGTCTCTACTTACAAAATTTTCTAGTTAAGAAATGTCTTCCAGAAGCAATTAATTTCCTAAGTAGAGGTACCACTGTAGTTCGCCTCCCGACATCACATCCTTAACCCGGTTACGGACCTCACGAGTGGGTAGAGCCTTTTTTTCTGCAGTTCTAAAAGCCTGTTAGTTGGATTTTGTCCTTTTGTGTGGTGGCAGCAAACTAGACTGTGACGGAGGAGCACAGATCTGATTCGACGACTGCTGTATTTTTTTTCCCTCCATGTGACCCTCAAAGTACACCAGAGTCACGCATTAAAAAAAAAAAAAAAAAACAATAAAAAAAGGAAAAAAATAATCTTGGGTGCAACACAAAAAATATTCACCCCCTCCCCCCACCACCGCAAGCTTTCACACGAAGTTACACCACTGAAATGAAGAATGTGTGTTTTTCATCCTACAGTACAAAGTATTTGTTGTGTTGTGCAGTTATTCCGTTCAAGTCTGTTGGTGGCTCGTTGCGCACAGTCATCCTTAAAAGGCCCTGGCAGGTTCTCACAACACACCACTCGGCCTTGTGAAGCCCAAAGGGAACCAACAGCATTGTGACCGTCTCGGCTTACTTAAGCTTCCCTTTGTGCCGCTGCCAAATGCACGGGCTTGTCGCATGCTCATTCTCACGTTATCGACCTGTCGTGCGCAATCAAGCGCTTTGCACACAGCTGACTGATTAAGCTATAAGAATGAAGGAGAGAGACAGAGTGACACGGAGCACTTGAAGTTACTTACTTGAAGTTAAAATCACGACACAACCGGTACTTTGTGTCTGATGAAAGTCGCTCTTAACCTTTTAGTCGATCTCCAACGGAGTTCAGACATCAGACACCAATTGATGTTAATCAGACTAATGGCTGCTTTGACTGAATGTACAGTCTTAAATCATTTCTATTTTTTTTAACATATACAGTACAAAAAGGGATTTTACAATACACACACACACACACACACACACACACACACACACACACACACACACACACACACACACACACACACACACACGACGAACGAGACAGAGATACAATCGATCATTTCCTTTAAAACTTTGAAAAGTTTGATCTGTATTTTTTTTTTCAACTCCAAACTCTACCAAATCATTAGTCCACCATTAGCAACTGCACCACAGTGAAAGCTCATCGTAGGTTTGCCAGCCCATCCACGACCGTGATTCGTTAACAAGGACCGAAAGTGCGATACAGCTCTAAATGAACACGAGCTCCAATCAGTCTCAGAACAGGCGGGAAAAATATTTCATGAGTTTGATGCAATGTGTTGAATAAGTAATATCAAGTAATGAGTGTGATCCCCTTGTGTTTGTAATTGCCGTATGAAAATATCACAAACTGCTTGAAATGAAAGAATTTTGGTCCTCATTTCTCATCCGAGTAGCAGAAGTTTTTCCTGATTTCAAAAATAATTGATAGCTGATGCGAACCACTTAAAATGCGGCGCTGAAACACGGCGGCGCCTTTCAATCATCTTGGCAGCTTTGAATTGCAATGAAGTTTATCAAGCAATATCACTTTTTTCATGTATTTGCTTCAAGTTACTCAAGCCATGCTGCATCCATAAAAACGGGCTTTAATTACTCAGTCATTTAAAGCAGGAACTCCCAATCATTGTCGTCAGAGATCATCTGGTTTTCCATGGAAAGTCATTACCACCACCAAAAAAAAAAAAAAAAAACCCCTTAACCCCAATTCAACTTGCATAGTGTGTCTCCAGATATCTCCCCCATTCCAAGTAATGTTGGGAAATAATTCCACCTACTAAGCTTTAAAAATTAGTGTCTTCGATTTGCCAATCCTTATTGCGTGTTGTAGGAAAACAGATAACAGTAAAAAACATGCTCCTCTCCCAGATTTTTGGGAACGTGTTGCAGGTATCAAATTCAAAAGAAGTCAAGATTTGTAAAAAAAATAGTAACGTTCATCAGTTTGAACATAAAATATCTTGCCTTTGTCGTGGATTTATGTGAATATCGGTCAAAAAGGATTTACACATCATTATCTTCTGTTGTTGCAGCACGGTGGGTGACTGGTTAGCACATCCGCATCACTGTGCAGATGTACTGGGTTTGATTCCGGCTCTAGCCTTCCTGTGTGCAGTTTCTATCGTCTCCCCGTGCCTGTGTGGCTTTTCTCTGGGTACTCTGATTTCCTCCCACATTCCAAAAACATGCACGGCAGGTGAATGAACACTTGAAATTGTCCCTGGGTGTGAGTGTGAGCGCAAATGGTTGTTCGTCTGTGTGTGCCCTGTGATTGGTTGGCAACCAGTGCAGGGTGTACCCCGCCTACTGATAGGACAGGCTCCATCACGGCCGCGACCCTTGTGAGGATGAGTGGATTAGAAAATGAATGGATCAATCCCATTTTACAAAACATCCCAACTTCATTGGAATTCGATTTTGGAGATGACCTCCTCCCTTTATAAATGTACCAACACATTACGACTGGCATTCAAATGGAAGCGTGCTGAAAAGAGAGATGTACGGGACGAATATTTTGCCAGAATAGGCATATACCGTACCAAAAAATATTGGACTGCGGCGTTACCTCTTACACAGCCATGAAAGCACTGCGGATGATCATTTAAAATACATTTATTTTAAATTTGGATTTGTGAGAAGATTTGTTATCCGTTTCCATGCTCAAAGTATGTCGCTCAACATCCCATCATGATGTTCACCTTTAAACCAATTAGTTGAAAGTGAATTAACAGCGCCTCTGGTTGCAGCCAAGTAGTGCACTCCATTTTATCTCAATTGCTTCAGAAGCATCACCAAATTAATTCCTTACCGAATTCTTAATGATCAATTTATTCAAATAATATGCCCTTCCTCAGCTATCACATTGTGCCCCCACTGCTGTGTTTAAAGCGTTCATTAAAGGACACAAAAGTACAAACCAACACTGAGATACATTTTGTTATTTCATTTATCAGAGCACAGCAAATGAGTAAAAATATGCAAAAGTTAAGCAACCAAAGTTTTCTTTGGCCAAAATTAGGTTTGGAAAAAAGGGGCCATCAAAGGGGAACAAGGGTCCGATAATCACAACATCCACATTAGACGAGTTTCAAATGAAAGGCTCAAATGACGAATTGGAGCAAATGATGCACTATTGAAGAAAACAATCAAATATTAAAAGAGGGCACAGCAGCGTGGCCCGGTGACATCAAGGCGATTAATCAGATGGTCATCATTGCCTCCATTTAGTGTGAGAGCAATAAAAGAGGTGTCATGGAGACCAGGCTGGCCCAGGCTCATTATCCACAAACACCCACAACCACAGCAAGGACGTGATTTTGGCAAATCAGGTCGTTATGATAATGTGGCTCCTCGGAAAAAAAGGCACTTTTGCTCTTGTGTTCTTTTTCCGTAGCATATTTGGCCAACAAAGTAAAACGTAAAACCAAAACATAAAATATGCCTCTTTCCTTTGATTTGGAATCTTGGAACTTTGGGATGAAACTAATTGGGTCACGAATCGAAGTCAGGTCCCTTTTTGTGGCATTTTATATTCTGTATTACTTTGTGTGTCTCTATATCGGGGGAAGTAAAGTGGAACATCACAAGCTCTGGAATGCTAGTTAAACTGTTGTTTGGCTTTGGAAACAATTTTCCCCGCGGGAAATAATGGAGGGCGCTACGATGCTGAGTGGTTAGCGCGTCTCCCTGACAATGAAAATGTATTATTTTATTTTTTATTTATTTATTTTAAACTTGTGCACATTTCAAATTCTTGACTCTTTATTTTGCTCAAGTACAAGAGTTGAATGATTAATTAATCGAGTATTTTTGACAGAGAATTTGTGACGTACTCCACCTCTGCAAATGACTACAAATCGAGCAAGAAATCAAAGCCACGACTTACATGGAATTGAAAACCGGGTCCACATCCAAATGAATCCAAGCAAAACCCGGCCTAGAAAGTGAAAACATCAGTTTTATTCTCAAAATCTGACAGGGCGGGACAATAAAAAGCAGCAGACTGTTGGAAATCACAAAGCCTGTTTTTCCTCAGTGATGATTACAAATGGTCTAATTTTAAACCCGGCATACTGTCACAACACAAAATATTTCCAATTTACAACCCCAAATGTTGCATTACCATTTATCTGTCGAATAAAACAAGGACAGTTTGACATACACTGTTTATTTTAGCCTCGTCCAGCCAAATGGAGAATTCAAGTGACAGCCATTCCTTCCCCGCTCCATCCTCTTAATTGCACGGTGGACAATTGTGAGGCACTTTGGGGAATTTCGCCGGCAACGTGGCACAGATTAACAGTCCCTGCACGCTTTGTTGCTGCCGTATTTGCATGATAATTAGTGGGTGGCAGCGCGCGCGTGTGTGTGTGTGTGTGTGTGTGTGCGTGTGTGTGTGTGTGTGTGTGTGTTCATTTATTATTTGCTTCACTAATATAGGTACACAGGGAGCGAGTGAGCAAGCCCGTGAGCGAGAAGGGAACACACAACAATGTGCATTAATTAAAGTGATTAAAGCATCCAACTGAACTTTGCCTTGGTTTGTTTTTTCAACTAATGAGCAAAGTGGCAAATGACTGTTTGACTTTTTTAGCAATTAATTGTACCATTTCCATTCATTTATCCCTATTCATCTTCTATTTGCACTCTTAAGCCATCACGTTAATTTGGACTCTTTTTCTATTGATAAACTCGCACCGGTAAGAATGGTGACTTAGAAGCAGGGTTGTAACAGTTTTGGAGTTATCATCATAGTTAATTTCTATTTCGTTTTGACTGCTGTCACACGACAAGATGTCACACTCCAAGTCAGTTACAGACGAGACCCTGCTCAATCTTTGCGTGCTTCCGTCAAGATTCAGTCTATCGACGCATGTCCGTCGGGGAGGTGGAAGAAGCAGGTGTAGTCATGTCAACGGAAGCATAATGTGCATGTGCTTCATTTCTATGTTCCGAAAAGGAGGGGAAAAAAAGTAGAGACCCTTTCCTGGAGAGTGGTTAGAGCACGGTATGGACTGTCTGTTCTCCAAAAAGAACTTGAAGAAACACATTTCACCACGTTTGCTCGCATGAGTTTAAATTCTATGTATACTTTCCAAGATTTACCCTTTTGTTCAAGTCACTTTTTAAATACAATACACCACATTCTGATTGTGTGCGCAGCATCTAGTCTCTCATCATAAGTAGGAGGGCACTGTCTTCCTATTGGTCAATGCCGAAGAACCGATCAAAGGATGACTTAGGGCAGGTCAGACTATGCAGCAAGACGAACAAAAATTCTGACATGCCAAACTTTAGTCTTCGTGTTCATGAAGCATCCCAGACACCTCACGACCAATTATTGAGTATCTCAAATAACACGGGATCTGCGCGTCAAAAGAATCCCCCTCAAAATCTCAAAAAAAAAAAAAAAAAAAAAACTCCTCAAAATCGGCTATGAAACACTGCATTTGTCTGAGACACGTCTGTCAGTTAAGAATACAACTACGTTTGTGGAGTCTGATGTCGGCATTACAGTAGACTAGAGCAGGCTAAAACACGCGTCGATGCGATGGCCATGCTGGCAGTGGTGATGTTCCCATCTAAGGCAACACATGGAAATATGTGGCGGCCATGTTAACAGGGGTGACTGCCCCATTAAAGGAAATGGGAAGTATGGACATTAGGTTAGCATCGCGGTAAGCATGCAGCTCGAAGGAGCGTGTCGTATCTACCGATTCATATCTATGGCTGTGTTTTACTCATAAGCCAGTCATGTGCACGTCTCTCGAAGATGCCATTTTTGGTACAGTACACAGTTGTTTTTTATTGTCAAGTCATAATCTGTGGCATGGAAGTGAACAGAGGTGAAAAAAGGAAGCGCCAACATTGTGGCTAATGAATGCAACCAAATGCGTGACATTATCTTCCCCAAGCACCAACTAGTTTGGATCAACTTTAAAACTTTTTCAACCTTTTTTATGTCTATTTCCTGAGCCGGACTGAGCATTGTTAGGCTAAAAACAATTTTGTACATCTGTATAGGGTATTTTTAGGCTGCAAAAATTTAAGTACTTCAATATAAAGGACAGTCGCTAACGGTTGACCCCTTCCCACTTAGTCTGTTGGATCGAGATGAGCAAGTTGATTTAGTTACACGCTCGGTAAAGGAATGAACAAGCATTGGCAGACCGTTTGCCATCCACAGGACCACCTCTCTTGGACTAAAGTGGAACAGTTTGGGCCACATCTTACAACAGCCCGATTCAATGTGATGAATGCTCGAACCATGGAGGGATGGATTTGAAACCCACTGAGATATGAAAGAGCCGTTTTTAGCTTTCACTTGTTTCAAATGTCATTTTCGTTGCAAGATTCTTAATTGAAGTTTTTCCCCACCTTTCCCAAAGACCTCTCCCTATGGGAAAGGGAGCCGTTGCTCGGAAGGAAAAATATATAAATAAATCAAAGCGACTCGTCATTGTTCCATTCACCTTATTCTCACTGCATTGTCCCATGAAACAAAGGGAAGCATCTCCGTCTGTCTGATCGTAGGCAAGAGTGGCAAAGAGATTTGATTTGAGGGATGAGGATGCTATTTGCCTAGAGAAAGCCCAGGGATGCGAAGCATCATGGCCCTGGCAATGGAGTCGGGCTGTCAGCTGGCATCTAGCGATAATTGCTTCCCATGGCAGGACCCCGCTGGCCCCCATGAATGAGGGCTGGTGCGGCGTCGAGGTGAGAATCCATATTTCAGTCCGGTTGTAATAGTTGTATGAATGTGAGGCTATTTTTGTGAGGGCCGAATTTTGATTGACATCCACTGACCATAGGGATGGAAGAGGAGTGAAGGGGAGTCGTCTCGATAAAGCAGTTACTCGAAAGACGAGGCACAAAATTGAGGGGAAAAGGTAGAGAAGACTGATGATTAACAGAGTTGCTTGACTGGCCAATCACTTCTTGCACTGCATAAATTGTTTCACAGGTGGCCTGACCCGATAAAGCGCAAATGATTAACTGAACAATCATGGGAGCCACTTGTAACGATTGATTGACCAATCGCAAACTGATCATATGACTTGTACTGCATGTAATCACTGACATGTTAACTGACCAGTGAATGACGGACTGACCAATCGCTAAATATTACTGAGCGTTTGATGCACTCGTCATGCAATTCTAAAAACAAATAAATTTCAATCATGATTAGAAAACAAAACATTTAGACACACAACTATTCTAATACTGTATATGAAATAGTATAGATAGCAAGGCTCGAAATAAGCGGTTTTGCAAGTCAGAATTTGCATTTTACACTTTCTAAAAAGACTCTCAAAAGTCGCATCAAAGTGAACGGCGGAGACATTCCCAAAAAAACTTCACTGGGCTTGACCTACATGCGTTAACGTTAAGTCTGTAATCATCGGCTCCATGACCAGCAAAAAAGATTCACCTTTGACAAAACTTGCTCGAATGATGAGGGAAGATGTAGAAGTCATGCTAATAGCTATGCTAACCTCTAACAAACACATAATGGAAAAAGATCGGAATTCAGTGGTTGGTAGATCGAGTACCCTTTTCACAGAAGTCTGCAAAAAATTGCTCCTCAAAATCTGAAATTTGGCCCCTTAAATTAAGTCATTGATTGGCTCTGCAAAGAAAAAAATTATATATTTTGAGGTTGGGATTGGTAGACTAACTAATGATCTGCAACTCTAACTGACCATTCCCTCTGTAACGATTGGCACCAATGAAGCCTGACTTAAATGAGTTAATAAAGATGAAAAAAGACCGGACATAATATTTTCATTAACACTAAACTCTTCTGGGGGCAATGCGTGTATGATGTAGTTTTAGCTCTAGGACATGTATTGATCAGTAATTGACATAAGCTCTTTAATGAGCCCCATCTGAAGGCGTTGCCAGCAGGCGCATGTGCGCCCTGAACCCGCTCCACTTCCCCTTTAGACACCCTGAGCAAGTCAAGCATTGCGTAGAAATGCATGGAAATCAAAATCAATAGCCACACATTTGAATACATGTATCTTAGAATTTTCGGACAGTTGATGACCCAGAATTCATTTTGGCTGACAAACATGAGTTTGGGAAATCCTTTTTTTTAATTCGAATGGATTACAATCTCTACGTGCAACTGAAACTCTGATCTGACTCGTATCCGTTTGCCACCCAGGGAAGCCATCACTCACCTGTTCTAAGCTAATTCCACACGGTGTCAAGGCATGGAATTGGATTCCAGGTTGGAGGAGCCGCCCAAGTCCGTCCTTGATGTCTGCCCGCCACAGCGCCTCTCTGGCGTGTCACTTCACCGCCGAGTGAACGTGCTAAAATTCCTCGCGGGCTAAAGTTCCATCGTTGGCTATCTTGGGCGTTGGGGCAAATCCCAAATGACATCCTCTTTTTGACCCCCCTTGCTGCAAAGAGAGATGAAGAGTGCTATTCAGGGAATAGAATGTCAGAGGAGATTGTGCTTGTGTGACAGCATTGTCCTATTATGTGGCAAGAGAAGTAGCTTGGAAGTGAACAACCTCAAGGTTGGTGTTTCTGTGATAAAATCTGTGGCTGCTGATGCATGTTTTTGGATGGTCAAAGATGCAAAATTAATCCTCTAAATTTGCCCCCCCCTCTCATATGGACTTCCATAAACCGGCTTGATGCATAGCGGTGAGGCATTCTAATTGTTCGGTTCAGCCCGAACCGGATAATGTTTTTGGATTCCAAAAATGCAGGCTCAAACAAAAAGGGACGATAAAAGTATTTATTCCAGAAAATCGCACCAACAAAGTATAAACTGAAATCGCTGGTCATAAAGAGCCAGGAAACACAATGCATGAAACAAAAAGCACGTTCAAAAGCAAGGTTCAATAGAAAACTGAGAATACACAAACGAATGGAAAAGAATTGAATCACAAAAATACAATGATCTATGAACAAAACGAAAGCGACTATGAATAGTGCCAAGAGGTCTAGAAAATAACACTTGAAGCACAACAGAGAGCAAGGTCAATAATCCGACAATGACGAGGCAGCTCGGCAGTCCTTAAATACGCCACAAGTCTTGATTGGAAATGAGGCACACGTGCGCCTGCTGGAGGGGAACGCCCTTCACTCCAGCAGGCGATGAACACAAAATCAAAACAGACAGAATGTGGCCCGTCACTCTCCAACCTCTCTTCACCCTTTTGACACTCTCCTGGGAGATGCAACTGACCAATAACTGGCATTTTGTGCACTGATTAACAGCAAGACTAACCATTGAAGCCTGAATGATGGTCCCGAGCACTCACTGGAGCTCTCTGCAAAGATTCTCTTTTCGAGTAACCAGTGACAGCGGAGCAATGTAACGGACCAATTACAGGTGTTGCCTGCAATGACTGACATGTAGATGGACGTCTGAAGCGTGAGGAATGTAAATGACTAGAGGTGCAACGATTAATCAATTAATTAGCATTTATCAACTGTTGAATTATTCAATAATTAATTTTGATAATCGAGTAATCACTTAGGAACCTTTTTTAATATTGCCCTGACATATCAGTTTCTTAACAGTAAATATTCTCCAATTTCTGTTGTCTTCGATTCAAGCAAACTGATTTACTGAAAATAATGATCAACATTTTTGCATATTTTCAGACATGTTATGGAGCAAATCAGTAACCGACTCTAAATTAGTCTTATTTTTCTCCACTATCAATTTGAAATGAAGGCCTGTTATTTAATATAGGGAGGGTGAACATGTTTTTTAACCACCGACGAATCACTGGCGCTGTGTGTCGTGACTGATTTAAAGGCTGACCAATGAAGTCAGAGTCATCCTTAAGCCTGCAGACTGTTTAGCCTTGAGGCATTGTAATTGACAGCCCTCTCTACTTATGACCTCACAATATTGCGCTTGGGCGGCCTGTCACTCTTGCTCCTGCCGCCTCAGTGCCAAGCGGGGGGTGCGCCTGGGAGAGAGGGCTGTGAAGGGGTAGACCTTCACAGCGGGCCCAGTTTGGTGCAGGCGGCCTGACAGGGCTCCTCTTGTAAACAAACTGCAACAACTAGCATTGTGGGATAACACTGAACTGCAAATGAGATGAGGTAGTCGCACCTTGCATGCATACAAGGACCTTCATATAAACATGGCAGGTGCATATATGCCGTCTCGTACACGCACAAATGCACAAACAAAGGTTCCTTGGCAGAATCTTAAGTACCTTATGCAAACTGTATGTTTGCCGAGGGAGGCACAGTGCGCTGATGATGAGTGGCTCATTATGGCAACAGCAGCGGCAGTGCACACTGGGTATCGCATAATCAAAGCCTGGGGGTACGTATTAATTATCCTTTTGAATAGTGATGAAATTTTAAAAAGCTTTCTCCTTAAGGCTCACATCACAGCGAGATGAAACAAAGCGCAGCACAGCTTGCGCGCCCGGGCCCACATGTGTTTTTACATCTGTTCAGGATATTTCAATTTGATGCTCCACGAGCTGAGCGCGGAGATTAAAGGATAATAACGTGTCATCCAAGCGTGCCGCCATTGCTTTTCCACGGCGAGTAGAGGCAGCTTTCAGGAGGAGCGAACAGCCGTCACAGGCAACGTCGACGCATGCATCCCCTGCATGTCTGCAGTCAAGGGGGCACTGTCGCACCCTCCATCCCACCATTCCCTCTGAGGGAGTACTCGACTTGTATTGTGATTTGCTCGGAAGAAATATTTGGGCGGATTTTTCTTCTTTTCATGCCTCCACTTTTCGTCGTCAATCATGAACATGTTTCGATATTGTTTCGCTGAAATGTAACGGAGAGGACAATCTGCAGTTTGCTCGAATACCGGTGGCGAGGGTGGAGGCTCCAGTGGTGACACTCATTGGACACTCACCGACAGCTGTATCAACAAATAATGTGTTTCCAATAATAGTAATGTGTTGCAACGCAGCTTTTGACAATATCAAAAAGGTACTCACTGAACGATGGGGAATTGGGGGTGAAATGAGTACTTCAGTATTTCAAGGACAACAAATGTGCTTACGTCACCTCCACAAAAGTGGAGGAAGACTTTTGACCGGTTTGATTGGAGGAGTGGGGATTGTTTCGCTGAAATGTAACGGAGAGGATAATCTGCAGTTTGCTCGAATACCGATGGCGAGGGTGGAGGCTCCAGTGGTGACACTCACCGACAGCTGTATCAACAAATAATGTGTTTCCAATAATAGTAATGTGTTGCAACGCAGCTTTTGGCAATATCAAAAAGGTACTCATTGAACGATGTGGAATTGGGGGTGAAATCAGTACTTCAGTATTTCAAGTACAACAAATGCGCTTACGTCGCCTCCACAAAAGTGAAGGAAGACTTTTGACCGGTTTGATTGGAGGAGTGGGAAAACTTTGATGACATCAGAGGAAATGAAAGACAAGAATGTGGGAACATATCAGACTGATCAACAGGCCACATGACTGCAGGTCCGGCAACTTGGCGCCCACATCAGAGTAAGGAGAAAAAAAAATTCTAGCTTTGATTGATTACGGCATTCTTCTGCTGTTATTTTCTCTTGTGCATTCATAACTGCTCTTTAACGACCAAAAAACGTAGTTCATCTGAATCACTTGATTATTCAACAGAATTTTCAGCAGGGGACTTGAAGACTAAAGTATTCAATAGCTACAGACCTACGTGGAGTAAATCGTATGATCAATAAAGAGCGATCATGTCACGGACCAGCTCCTGGTGCGACATGTAATTGATTGACATGGAGACTAACCAATGAAACATTGCTGAATCCAAGGTGCTTTTAAAATCACTGACATGTGTCAGTGAAGTTACCAACCAATCGCCGGTACCGTATGTAACAACTGAAACGTGAGACGACTATCCGATAACTGATCACTGGTGCTCTGAGTCAATATTGACATGTAGAGTGGCGAATGAAACCTGAGTGATGTCAGTCGCGATCTGACATGATTGTCATGTTGACCGAACGTTAAAGTCTAAGTGACGATTCTGGCCTATTATGGAGCATTGTTTCCATAGAATACAAGAACAAATATGAAAATGACTTTTGATCATGGAACGCAAGTACTTTTTTATTTTGGCATGATGTTGACATGTTTGAGGTAAGGAATTCAAAGGTCATGACGGTAGGTAGGTACCTGTTCCTTTTCAGCAGCCTGAGATTCACAATTGTCACTTCCCACCTTATTTATGTGACGGGAAGGGGAGCGAGGGAGGAAGTACTCACCTATTTAATTTGATTAGAGATCAGACGGAGGGAAGGAGTCACGTCTCCTCGCCTCCGCCGCTTCCCTCTCTCTCTGCGCGGCGCACCCTGACACCTGATGGTATAAAGAGACGTCACTGCCACGCACCGCCGTAATGCCTGTAATTACTCTGAACTCGGGGAAATAAATAAATTTGCTGTTCTCTTTGTGAGCGCCTGACAGGTTTCCCAGCATCCTGCACTGGAGGAAATTGTGGCTTGCGTGCACGTGGGCGTATGGGTTTTTGTTGCGGTGTGTCTTTTGTGCATGCGTTTGTGTTTACATGCTGCGAGGCGCTTGTAAAAGAGACGATCAGACAGGGAGGAAATGTTGACAGCTACAGTGGAGTTTGTTTTTGCCTTCGCTTCTTGACGGTGATCATGTGATGGCAAACATGAGGCTGTTTGTAAATAATAAGTTGAGAGTTTTCAAGCATAGTTGCCGGTGCCAATGCTGATGTCACTCGTGTTGGTGACGATTGGCTGTGACCCTCTTAGGTAAAGTATCATATGCTCATGTGGACTGACCACCGAAAAGTGAGGGCTATAATGTACAAATAACAGGGCTGCTGACAAACATGGCCACTCAAGACGTATGCAATGGTGCAATCATGAGTTGAGTGTGTCAAATTTTGTCAATTTCATTTATATAGCACAATTTCACAACAAAAGTAATCAAGCGGTTGGGTTAAGATGGAGAGAGAGAGAGTAGGGACAAGGAGGAACAGGATAGAGTGGTTAACGACCCGGGGAGGGACAAGAGAGCAATGAGCACAACAACCATGTCAAGTGTCGAAAATGACTGACAAACACAGGGTGTCCACAAAGCCTGGGTACAGAGGAGATTTCACATTCACCAGACCTGTCTCCCCTTGTGCTAAGAGAAAGTGTACTCTATGTAGATCACAGATGTCTGGCTCGTCGTCACACGGGTCCCATCCCAGTCTCCAATCTCCGCTTAGCAGGAATTGAATACAAACCTATTTTTACCTTTTTCAGTCTAAGGCAGGAGTCTCCAAGTCTGGTCCTCGGGAGCCCCTATCCAGCCTATTTTATAGTGTTCCCCTGCTCCAACATACCCGATTCAAACGATCAGTTCATCTGCAAGCCTGTTAACGATCCCTCATTTGAATCAAGTGTGTTGGAGCTGGTGTCGCTGATGGTGTAGTGGT